GAATACGTTACTCTCATTGAGTAACGTAACGGAATACGTTACAGAATACATTTTGGGACATGTATTCTGTATTCTGTAACGAAATACATTTTAAAAGTAACCTTCCCAACACTGATCCTCACAGGAAGTAGAATCAGCTGGAGGACTTTCCAGCCGGATGAAGGGAGCTGGGGGAGTTGGTGGTGGTTGGCATCAACAAGGAGCGTCCACGGGCCCACCGCCTCCACCTGGAGGTCAGTCACAGACATGGGCACACATGCTAAATATTTACTCCTTCGCACTCCACAGTCCTGACAGATGATTAGCGTGTGAAATAAAACAAACACACTTAAAATCTGACAGAAACTGGATGGCTGTGTGTGTTTGTGTTCACAGCTGTGCGAGTACTTCCTGTGGGAGGTGTGATGTCGCCTCCTGTTGCTGCAGTGGCACCTGTAACACCTGGTTTGTATAACGAATGATGATGATGGGGGGGAATCATCAAACATGATTTTCCATCTTGTTTACTGTGTTTTTCCTCCAGATGCCCGGCAGGCTGTTTTGTCCCAGCAGCAGCAGGCGATCGTGAACCAGCAGGCCGTCATCATGGTGCGCCTCGGTTTTGGATCCGTGTCTGTTTATCTATCCCACTGCTCTCTGCTACCAATGTAATGTGTCATGTTCTTGTTTCTCAGGCCCAACAGATGACTATGCAAGCCATGGCTATGGTCGGCAGCCCGGTGTCGAGTCCGCCCACCTCCCCGATCACGAGCCCTCCCATGAGTCCTCTGTTCCATCACCCTCTGAGCCCTTATGCCCCCACGAGCCCGTATGCTGCCATACCGCCAAGCCCGTATGCAAACATGCCACCGAGCCCCTACGCCAACTTCACCCCAACTCCCTTTGCTGCAGCAGACATCCCACCTCGCCCCCATCATCTCTCTGCTCAGGCTCCGTCACAGCCTCAGGCTCGGCCTCCTGCCGGTCCCCAGACTCAGCCTCAGGCCTCCCCTGCCAACCCTAACCCTGAGCCAGCCTCCACAAAAACTGACAAAGCTAACCCAGCAGCACAGGTCAGTAACTCCGAGACATGTGAGGAAACAGTTCGCACTGACACGTTGCGTAATATTCCAGCACTGCCGAGTGTATAAAAGAGGCTGCCGTGAACTTAAAGCAACAGGAGCCGTTTATTTGAAATACAAAGAAGATATGTGTTGTCAGGATAATAAGCAGCAGCTGGTTCAAAAAAAACAACAAATATAAAAAAACAAAACACATAAATGCATCAACCAAAGATCTGCAATAGTAAACATACTCATTTCTATGCCTAATCAGCCAATCAAAATCAAGCTTATCTGAAAGTGACTCTCAAATGTTCAGACAAATGAGGGTGAAGCAGTTGTGCGACTACAGCTGCTGCGGAGGCAGCTGCAACTTTTCTTTGGTTCTGATATCTTAGTTTTACTCGTGGAGGTTACTCTGGGTCTGCAATCCTCCGCAACACTGTTTGGAAGTGGTATCTTTATTTTTCTAAGAGTAATAATTGAATATTTTGAGTTATGAAGCTGCGCCTGATATTATTAGAAAGGTTGAACCCCAGTGCTCCCAGTACCAGAGACAGAGGGGGAACATCTGGTTTCACTGGCTCTGTTATTTAAATATAGATATGTGTGGTATCTACAGAAACATCAGAATCTCAGCTAAAAACTCACTAATTCATTAAAGAGATAAATAGATTCACAAACACTATGCACAGCACCCTGAAAACACAGATCTCTTTATAAGGCGAGAACAATCAGCTGTGACTGAACTTGGACGAGTGACGAAACGTTTCTTCCTTATTCGTTTCTTTATGCACAGACGCAGACGGATTATATGGTATAAAAGACAAAATAAGGTGAAATTCGGTGTCTGCCTTGGTTACTGTTTTGGTTTTGTTTCTTTGGTTGCAAATTACAAATTTAGTTTGCCAGTCTCATCCTTCCTTTGATGTGATGCCCAGAATCCCTACCTGCAAACATTTACTCTCACAGTTTGCCCATCTTTATTTCCCTGGCACACGTTCCTGAGTAAAGTGGCGCGTATTAAGTATTCTGAGGAGAAAATTTCAGACAGGTTATGGGCGAAGGAGTTAAATTGGATTGAGGCAAATTCCATCAGTGCGAGATTTCAGCTCACTAGTTAAGAGCCATCCATCAGCGGCACTCAAAGACCAAACTGAATAGAATATCTCCCTCCGTCTCTGCTACATTCGCTAAGTTCATGTCAAGTGATGAGATCCTCGGGTCATCCCTTTTTTTCCCTCCGAGCTCATAAATTTCTGGGATGGCAGCTTTGATTTGTACAGTGAGATATGTAAAGTTGTTTCAGCGTCTATATGACTTTTCCTCTTACATTATTACAAATCCTCATGTTTGTAGTGGTCAAAGGGAAAATAGTTATCTGAGACGGAAAGATGTCACCCTGTGCATTGACTGTATTGTCCTTTGATCCACCAGTTTTATACCTTTCATTTTAGACCTTCCTTCATGTCAGAACTCTGGCATGTCTATCTTTTAATGTTGCAAATCAACAACAAAAAAGTCCCCCAAAAACATTATGCACAGTTGCAGACTATCCACAGGTTTGTCTGCACCAAAAACACTGTCAGCTTCTTTTTTCTTTGCTCCCACACTGACTTCTCTGGCAAAATTGCAGATGACTACATTGAGCATCTGCAGAATCTTGAGTGCAAACTCTCTGTTTTCTCTCTCTGTGTGTGTCTGCGTGGCTTTTTCAGGCTCAGTCAGCCAAGGACAGCGTCCCTCCGAGAAAAGCTCCGGGCATCCCCGTGAACAAGGACAAACCAGTCAGGAAATTTGGTAAGAGAGTGAGAAAGAAGTTCGCTTCTCACAGAACTCTCATTTAAGAGAGCAGAGGAAATCTAATCTGTTTTTGCGGATGCCTCAGCCCCGGTTGTGACGTCTCCTCTGCCCCCTGCTGGAGAAGTGGTGAAGTATTCAGCTCAGACTTCAGATCATGTCATCCCCAGCCAAGATATCCAAGGTAACCGCAATTTTTGATAGGTTCACACACACATGTGAATAAGCGAGTCTTTTTCTTGACATTTTTGAAATATTGTATAAAACTTTGAAACCACCCTCTGTTGACATGTTTTATTTCATTAAAAAGAAATCATTAATAGATACAACTCTCCACCACCACCGCCGGACCCACTGCCACCTGGCAAGAGGTGAGGCTACACAAACAAGCACGCACGTGTTCTGTGTTGAGGAATCAGCTCGGTGATCAGATTTTCTTACAATAAACTTTGCTTGTAAATCCAGCACAGCAGTTGATGCTGTCTGCAGACACAGAAATAACTGTGCACGCTGTAAACAAAGCACCGACAGACACTGGCTCCGACGTTAACGCCTGCATTAAGCACGCAGCACCAGAACGATCGTGTTTACACTCAGTAAACATAAACGCAGATTATGCAATTTGATGTATTTGTAGTAGAAAAGCCCTGCGCACTGTAATGTGTGATGTTGACACTGTGTGGTTGTACTTAGGAGACCAGAAGGGAAGTTTAAGAAGACGCAAACACCTCGCGATGAAGCTTTACAGATCCTCAAACCACAGATGGAGAACCCTCCTGCTCCACAGGTGAACACACACGCGTGTTAATGCAAGCAGCATATACAGTTGTGGTCAAAAGCTTAAATCCACTCATCATGGGCACAACTGTCATGGTAATTTAAGGTTTTTAATTTTCTTTAATTTATTTCGTTCTTTTTACTGGGTGGAATGATTGTACAGATGCAGCTTTAATGACTTAAAAAACTACAACTGGTTTAATTTAGTTTGAATTTATTATTTTATTTTCTATAATCCACACAAGGCAAACCAGTCCCACTGGCAACAAAACAGGTCCAGAGCGTGACGCTTCCACCACCGTACTTAACAGCTTTTGTTCTTAGGTCTGAGCATCACCTGACCCTGTGTGGATGCAAACTTTTGACCACAGCTGTAAAAGGTCACATAACAAAATGTTTTTGTGTCTCCCCAGCCCAAACGTCCTGCTGCTGCTTCACCCTCTGCGTCTGCAGTGAAAGAGGCAGGGTTTAAACCCACCAAGAGCACAAAGACCAGAGCGCCTGCCCGTCCCCTCCCCATACCTCCTCCAGGTATACACTGATTTGTGTACAGATGAAGCTAAATCACTTGCCCTTGTTAGAAAAATCTCAGCTTTAACCAAACAACAGTAGTCATCTCAGGACCCTATAATCCTCAGGCTCAAAGAGGATCGACCATGACCAACTGGGATGAAAGGAAAGAGGAGAGGGAACAGTTCTGTTTTGTTTAGATCAAATAGACCTTACAAGAAGAAATTACGTGCTGAAGATATTGTCTGGCTCACAGAAAACCTGCAGAACCTGATTTTAGTTCAAAACTGTGTTTCAAGGCTTATAAATGATGAATAAAAAAGAAAAACCCGCATGAGCCCTGTTTTAGCTTCCCTTCACTGGTTTCCAGTCAGCTTGGGAAATTAATTTAAAGATTTTATTAATCACATTTTAAGCGCTTTATTGCTTGGTTACGAGCATTATTACTGCAGCCCTACCAGCCAGATTGTCAGCAAGGACTCGGATGACTAGATCAAGTCTAAAGCTGAGTGTTTTTTTATTTTCACCAGGGGACTCTAAGCTTCTGGATCAGTCAGTGACGAATTTTAAATCACTTCTCAAAAAGTCTTTCAATAATGTCTCTAATTTACTTCACATTTTATAGTATTTATTGTCAGGCTTTGTTTGCCTACTTCATTTTCAGAGGTCTGCTTTTATTCATCGTACTATATTAAATTGCTTAATCTGAATTTGCCTTTATAAAGTAACTCATAATGTATTTGGAAAAGTGCTTTATGAATAAAGTGGTTGAAAATTCCCAAGCTTTTATTTCTCCTCCAAACCTCTATGCCACGTGTTTAGTTAATGTTTTAAAAAAATAACATATATGCTTATTGTTACATAAAATTAAGGCCAAGCACCCAGAAAAGAATCTCTTAACAGTTTTCAGGTATTACTGGGTCATTATGTTGCCTCCTTGCCTCTTTTTATCTACTTCTCTGTCCTCCTGACCTCATCTAGGAAATGCCACTTTAATAGTTCCAGGTTTCTCTGAGAATTTCTAGTAATTTGATATCTGGTTATTATAAAGTTTTGACCTACTCACTGGATAGTTAATGTACTTGCATTTGGGTTCATTTTCTTCTCTAAGTTGGTTATTTGTGTTCTTAGTTTCCTCAGTGTTTCCCAGTCTGTTCCTCCATCTTTCTTGTTTCTGTCTTAATGTCATGGTCCCACCTGAGTAATTTCTTTTGTTTAATGCAGAGTCTGCATTAGTTCTCTTTCCACATTTACTTGAACACTTGGGTTTCTTTCCTGCCCTGCATTAGCGTTTTTTCCTGCTTCCTGAATGTTTTCACCTGTGTCTAATTTCCCCTCCTGTTCCTTGTTCTCAGTTAACCCAGTGTGTATAAATAGTCTTGTCTCCTCTTAATCCCTCTCACATCTTTGGTCTCCTCCCCCTGTTTTTCTGTGATCTGTATGTTCTCTTAGACTTTTAGTATTCTTCACTTTGCCATTTAACAGCTGGCTTTTGTATCTTGACTGTCAGTTGTAATTTTCCTGACATCTCACATTACCTGCTTGTAAACACTAAGTAATAGCTGAGACAACTATAATAGCTCTAAAGGTCAGGATATTGACAGTTGTGAAATGGGAGGACTGTCACAGCAAGCAGGCAGTGAGATCCCACATGACCCTGAAGGCACATAGATTCTGAACTATAAGAAACGTTTGACTTTCTGTTAAAAAAAGAAAAAAGTTTACAAAATGTTGGAATGAGTTTTCCCTATTTTCTGTAGTAAACTAATAGCAGACATAAAGATTCACTTCACATTAGCCTCCCCTATACTGTGGAGTGCTAACTCGCACAGGTTAGGGTGCTAAACAGAAATGGTGAGCATAAACACCCTTGTCTGGTTTCCCTCCCTTGTTCCCAGTTAGCCCAATGTGTATAAATAGTCCTGTCAGATCATTTGTTTGCCTCACTCTGTATTTCTGTGATTTTAAGGTTTCTTAACACTGCAAGCAGTTATTAAACTGTTTACTTTTGTGTCATGCTTGCATTTTGTAACGTCAAAATAGATAACTATAATAAATTACTCTGGACATCAGGGGAAGGAGGGCAGTGAAATGCAAAGTTTCTTTGCGTAGCTTAAAGCACAGGTTTGCCTGAGCACAGCCTCATCTCTATCCTCGTGTATAAATAAGAGTGTTGACCGGAGGTAACACAGACATAATCTGACCTGTTTTATGCAGTCTCTCGAGAACTTCCAGTAGAGACACAAACTATCCAGACGCAGCTTCATCAGAGGACCAATGAAGAGCACTACACCTACACCAATGTTCCCTGGAGGCTGTATCTGAGGAAGGAAGTGAGCGCATATACAAATATAAATCATAAAAATTCCACTTATTCTGACCTGTATCTCCTCACTATTAAACCACGTTTCCTTTCCTTCACAGGTATTTTATCCCAAAGACAGCTTCAACAGTCCCCTGGTGCTGGATCTAATTTTCAAACAGGTAACTTTTCTTTTCTTTTCTTTCTTTTTTAAATTTCCAACCCATTTGAGCTCAATAAGTTTAACTAATAACACAAAGATCATAGAAAGATTCGTCTTAATAATTTCTAACAATTCCTCTTCTCTGCTCTCCTCTGTCCTCCAGATAGTAAATGACACCTTGTCAGAGGCGTGTGTTCGCGTCACCCGGGATGAAAGGCAGAAAATGAAAGCTCTTTTTGGTAGTCTGTCTGTTCTTCCGGGAGACACTTTTTAAGATTGTATGCTTGAATCTCTTTGACATTCATGAGTTTGTGTGTGTCTTTTTGTGCAAATGGCAGCTAAGCACGGCGTCAGACAGAATATGGATCCAGTGGAGGAGCACGTAAAGAAAACTGTTGTCACAGCAGCCAGGGAAACCTGGGAAATATACTTCTCCCGACTCTTCCCAGCCTCGGTGAGCCTGGCGGTGAATCCTTAGGGCAGTATGATTTCTGAGTCGGTGGGGAATTTTCATTTTTAATAACACTTTTTTTTTTTTATATATTTTTTCTGTCTACATTTCTGCAGGGTAGTGTAGGAACGGGGGTGCAGGTATTGTCGGTGTCCCACAGTGGAATCAAACTGCTAAAGACTGTAAAAAGCAGTGCTACGGCTCCAGACTACTTCCGAGTCCTAAGACCGTACACGTATGTGCTTGTTTGTCTCTGTGTAGATTTCTGTCACAGACAAATACACCAAACATACACGGAAATACAGCACATAATGCAACAAGCAACGTTTGCACAATTCTAACAAACGTGACTGTCAGTATTTGGTGTGAACACCTTTAGTTGTTAACACAGCCTGAACTCTCTTAGGAAACATTTCTCATCCTGTCTTTAAGAAGTATTCAGGAATAGTTCTCCAGGCTCCGTGAAGGACATTCAGAGCTCTTCTTAGGATGTTGGTTGCCTTCTGTTCTCTGCTGATATGATCCCACGCTGCTTAAAAGAGGTCTGTTGAGGTCTGGGCTTTGGGGAAGCCAATCCGTGACTGATAGTTTTTCACTTTTCTGTCCAGTTATGCCTTTACTTTACAGATGGCTATAGGCACTCACTGTTGTACCTCTCATTTGATCTCCTCTATACATACTGATGACCAAAAACTTTAAAATTTGGTGCTAACCCATCTCAAATAAATTAGCAATGTTGCCTCACAGCAAGAGGGGTCTTTGTGGAGTTCGCATGTTCTCCTCTGTGTTTGTGTGGGTTCTCCCAGAGTCCCGGTACTCTTGCTTCCTCCTACAGTCCAAAGATATGCAGTCACTGGGGTTAGGTTAATTAGTAACTCTAAACTGCATAGTTGTGAATGTGAGTGTGAATGGTTGTCTGTCTCTGTGTGTTAGCACTGCGACAGACTGGTGACCTGTCCAGGGTGTACCCTGCCTCTTGCCCTAAGTTAGCTGGGATAGGCTCCAGCAGCCCTGAAACCCTAACAAGGGTAAGCGGAAGAGAATGGATGGACTCCATTAGACCTGTTGCTGCTGCTGCTGATTTTCAGTCCAGTTCTTGTGTAATTTCACATGCCTCAGCCTTTTCTCCCTGTTTTCCTTCATGGCTTCTTCTTTCCACTGTCACCATTTCCATTGTCAGTGAATAGTTTTTCCTATTTATTAGGACATGTTAAATGATAAATGGCCTGTATTTGTATAGCGCTTTTACTAGTCCCTAAGGACCCCAAAGCGCTTTACACAACCAGTCATCCACCCATTCACACACACATTCACACACTGGTGATGGCAAGCTACATTGTAGCCACAGTCACCCTGGGGCGCACTGACAGAGGCGAGGCTGCCGGACACTGGCGCCACCGGGCCCTCTGACCACCACCAGTAGGCAACGGGTGAAGTGTCTTGCCCAAGGACATGACTTTCTGCTATCGATAGTTTCTTACCTGACACTTCTTTTATTCATTGGCTTCTTTTTTTGTATATGAAACTGAAGAAATCAATTATGTCTTTATATACCACACCGCAAAAAAACATTCCTCTGAAAAGGACTGAAAATGAGTGGAAAAACCAGCCAGTGTTCAAAGGAAAACTTTGAATGGTCTTCAGAAAGCCTGGAGAACCAGACCACCTAAAAAATTGAGAAGAAATGACGGTTGCCTCGAGACTTTTAGACAGTACTGTATCTCCAAGCTCTCACCAATTTGTTGTCTGATAGTGTGTTTTATTTTGTTTTTGTTGTTAAAATATTTACTCCGCTTTTTTTCCAGCTATGCCGACATCCTGTTTGTGACCATCCCATCTGAGAACATGCTGGAGTTCAATCTGACCAATGAGAAGCTCATACTGTTCTCAGCCAAGGCACCACAAGTCAAACACCTCATAGACACGTTCATCAATGAGATCAAAAAGGCACAAAGCACACACACACACACACAATTCACCTGAAACATTCAGCTTAAGTAGGTTATGCCAATGTCCAGATACACAAAGATAAACAACAATTACACATATAAAACGTACGCAGGTATTTGAGCTGTTTAAAAAAAAGAAAGAAAGAAAAACAAACCAAAAATAAGCTCTTTTTTCTGTGTTTTCCCTGTTTCCCCCTTAAGGACTCAGACTACGTGATTGCAGAGCGTAACTTTGTTACAGATGACCGCACGATGCTCAGTTTCCATAAAGGTGACATCATCAGGCTTCAGGTTATGGATGGGCTCGAGAAAGGTGAGGCACTGGTGTGGAAGTCACGCTGTATTCTGTGTGAATCTGCGGCAGACTCATGAGCTCATATTCGTCTTTGCTCATTCTCCAGGGTACAGCTATGGCTGCGTGGTGAGGAAGAAGGTTGTGTTTTTGGAGGAGCTCAAAAGAGACACTCAGGACTTTGGTATTTATGAAATCCTGTTATTTTAATAACAAAAAACAATCAGTTTTGCACAGAGTTCCCAGTTGTTGGACGAGGCCCAAATATAAACAAAGCGACAATTCAAAATGACGGTTTTAAAGGATTTACTAACCTATGCTGCGCTGTGTACCCTGGGGATGTGAGGGTATTTTTAAAGCCAGGGAAGAATAGCTGCAGTCGTGTTGACGGCGCCTGCGGCACTCTTTAAATACAATATTGTATCAGAAAATTATTTTCCAGATGGATGACTGCAATGCAGTTCCAAAACTATTGATTTATGTGTTTTCTTGAGGACATAAAAGATGAAATGGGATCACAAATGTCACGTCAAGCAGTCAGTGGATAAGACAAACTACAGCAGAAGTTTGCGCACATATTTCTAATTTAATCTGATGTATTGGTTTTGTTTTTCGGGGTCTTAAATTCAGAACTTATAAATTGCTCATATAGCACTCCATGCTCATGTTTTATTCATGTGAATCCTGCCCGCGCCATTCAGACCGCTCTCATTCAACCACAGTCCTTAAATGGTAGCATAAAAAGCTATATTTTTACATAAATTAACCTTTAATGTTAAGTTGATTTATGGGTTGCATAAAACATTTTTCATCAACTACGTGCCTGAAATGTGCGTTTGTTTTTTCTTTTTTAAGATTCATTGCGTGTGTGTTCTTATGAAACACAAAAAGGGGCTTACTGCTGATCTTGGGGCAAAGTGCTGGTCCCTATAAGCCGACGTTTCTTTTACTTCTGCCTGAAACAAGATGATCTCCAAAGTTGAGACACAACGGTTTTCTTATCCAATTACTTCTGTCACTTCTCTTTGAGTTGGTCCCCGGCCCTGTTTACGGCTTGAGGATGTTAAACTTGACCTTATAGCCACATGAAAAGCTAAAACAATTTTATTTATTTTAAGAAAGGAAAGTAACGTTGTTTTGGAGCACTATATCAAAATTGGAAGATTAACAATTCAGGTTTTTTCAGTCATATTGCCACAGGAGTATAAAATCATGCACCTAGCTATGCAGTCTGGCCATACAAAAATATGTGAAAGAATGGGTCAGTCTGCAGAAGGGATGTCTCATTTTATGTAAAAGGCCACATACTGCTTACTTTCATCTAAGAGTAAACCTCCCTTTCTCTCACTGTAAAGAAGTTTAACTGCACATTAAATCTGCCAAATATCGTAATATAAGCAAAAAAAGAAGGAAAGTTCAACAGTTCAACTCATTTCTTTCCTGCATGATAAAGAAATGAAGTTAATAAAAGACATCTGTCAGCACGATAATCCCCAGACTGTCCTGTAATTACAAAACAAATTTTCATTAATTCACAGGAAATTCTGTTTCTTTTTTTCTTACTGTTGGTCTATTTCAAAAATCAGATTTCTATTCTAGATAGTGGAAAAAAATGGGTTTTCTGTCATTTTCTTGTTTATCTTTTACATAATTTCTTTGGTGTAGTAAGAATGGCCGCAGGGAGGTCTTTATCAAATGCTGTATTTTAAAGTACACAATTTAAACCCTCCTTCATATTTCCAAAGCCATCAGGTGGGCGGGATTGGAGTCCTTGTTGATTCTTTCCTCCGGATCTTATGTTTGACACTCCTGTTCTAAAGGGTTTCCTAAATTTGGGTGTGGAGCTGTCATAGGATGGTAGTTTCACTACAAGTCAGTTAGGGACATTTCGTCACTCATAGATATTTCCCAATCAACTGCAACATGTACTGTTGCAAAAGTCGAAGCATTTAGGAACCACAGAAACTTGGTGTAAACTTACAGAGCAGGTTGATGGGTTGAGCTCCAAACCTCCTCTGGCATTATCATAAATACGAAATCTGTATTTATGGAGCCATGGAAACTGTGGCATAGGTTTCCATGGCTGTCCAGCTGCATGCAAGCCTTACATCACTGAGCAAAATGCCAGCTGTCAGATGAAGTGTCTCTGGACTCTAGAGCAGTCAAAACATATTCTGTGGATTGATTCATTTTATTTCTCTATCTGGTAGTCTGATGGATGAATCTTGGTTTGGCAAATAACAATTGTATGCTTCTAACTTTGCTTCTTCTCCTCAGAAAACTGAACCAGTTTTCACATAAGTCTGAAAAAGAAAAAACAAACAGCGTCTCTGGAAACTATGAGCCAGCTGACAGGTTAAACTATTGAATATTGCAGCATTAATTTCATCACTCGCTTAGCTTCGAGGATTGCTACAGCACCATGTCATGTTTGGGATCAGGGTTGGAGGTTGCCCCATATCAGATAAGTTAGCCTTATGTCTCTACAATTAGAGAGGAGACTGCCTTTTGTGCCAGGTTATCAGTGTGGCAGCAGAGAGGTGGGAGGGGGATCACATCTTGTAAATGAATGCAAAGCCTGCAGATAAAGGTCCGACCACTTTAATTGAAAAGCTGACCTGCTGGTAGAGGAAAGGCCGATAGCGATCAGGATTTGCAGTAAAGCAAAAGCTTGTTTAGGCACAGTGAACAATCAGGTGTTTGCCCTGCATCACCTGCACCTTGTTACCCCTCTGCTCTGTCTGCGCATCAGGCTGGAAGTTTGGCGCCGTGTTCGGCCGCTCCGGCACATTCCCCGCCGAGTGCGTCCATCCCGTCGCTCCTCCTGACTTCCTGTCACTTCCACTGGACCGAAAGTCGGAGCCTCGAGGTGGAGCGGGACAGTTCGCTGTGTCATCAGCTGTCGCTGTCGCCGTAGCATCCACCATGGCCGCGCATGAGATAGATCAAACAATTGAGGTTCGGAGACACTCACACACATACAGATTGCTTGCTTTTCTGTCAAACTGAATTCAGGTTGTTTTTCACTGTCACTCTTTGCCTTTCAGAAGGTCTCTGTTGATGGCTTTGCTGATGGAGATCTGGATGAAAGTGCCCTGCAGGACACGAAATATGACATGCTGGAGTTTGCCAAGAAGTACTTCAGACAGGCGGCCAGCGGGAAAGGGTGAGGGAAAACACAGAATGAGTTTACCGTGCTCTAACAGCAGAACAGGAAAAAGATGTGTTAGTTATCTTTTACTCTTAGTAATCAGCAGGGAATAGACAAAGCCATCAGACTTCCTAACAATAACACTCTGTTGTAATTTTGGCTGTATTTTCATGTAAAATTATCACTGAGTGAGAACATTAGAAGCAACAGAATGTCTCCTTAATTTTAGTGCACAGTCTTCAAGTGGATGCAGCTGCGGAGCAGCAGGAACAGCGGACCTGTTGTTGTTAGAAATTTCTCTAGGCAAAGATAAAAGAGTGAAATGAGGAGGTACAGCCCGAGAAGGAGCATCAGACAGGGGCATCGAAAGTAATCAAAAATACTTGAGTTACTTTGAAAATCATTTAGGTGCTCCTGTGTTCATAAGTTCTGCATTGAAATACAATTTACGATGCTAAGTCCTGCTCCAATGATAGAATATTAAAATGATGTAACACCGAGAGGTACTAATCTGCATCATAGGTACACTGAAATCAGCTGTGTCGAAAGTGCTTGCGTACTCTTGTTTAGATACATATTTGAAGGTTGCTAATTTTCAGGCAATTCAAATAAATGCTCTGTTTTATTGGAACTAAAAGGCAACATGAGGCATGACTGACTGTGTTCACAGAGATTCCCTGAAGAGCAAAAGCAAGAACAGAGACTCCCGGGAGCCCATTGAAATGATCAAGTTTTCCAAGGTGCCTTCTTCTTTGCTCTCAGTTTTGCTGTCGTAACACTACGGCCGCACCGAGTCGTTCGCGTAACTTTTCTTGTACCGTGTTCACCTTTGCAGACGCCTCTGACTGAATCTCTGATAGAGTTCACAGATCCGGCCATGAACAGAGTGGCAGCCGATCTCTTCCTGTGTAAGTTCTCACCTTCTGTCGTCTTCATTTGCATTAATAATTTTCTGATTTTTTTACAACCCGGTGTTGTGCCAAAAAGTGATTGTCTGCCAAAAACTGATTTCCGGCATTTGCCAAAAACTGATCGCTTGTATTTAAACTGCTATAAATAACTTGTTGATCTACAATATGTGAAACATATGCCAAATATATCCCTCGTGAATTATATCAAGTCATCTTGACCAACAAACAACATTCCTGTAACAAGGTAGAAGCCGCAATCACTTTTTGGCAGTGACTTTTATGTATCCTTTATTTATGCAGTTAAAAAAAATATATTGTTTGCTTTAAAAATGTCTCTTTTAAGGGTAATCTGGCCAAGAAGACATCTGAAATTGCAACAAATGCAAAAATAGTTCTGTAAACATATTTTAAGTGGACAAAAGGAAGCTGATTGATTATAATCAAGTACAATAACACAGCTACAAAGATAATTGAGAAACAGGTAATTTTTTAAAATTGTGTATTTAACCCCTTTGCAATACCTGTTCACCGAAGTCTATTTAGCAACATACGTAACGATATTACACATGAAAAAACACACGGAAACATTGGAAATCAGTTTTTGGCAGGCAATCACTTTTTGGCACAACACCGGGCTTCAAGTGATTCTCTGTTCAGAGGAGATGTCCTCGTATCCTGTGCCATCTACTGCATATCTGTTCATCTCGGCAAAGGAAGAGCTGAGGTTCCTGCTTTTTCCCCGTAAAAAGGATTTGAGGGGAATTTTTCATTATGTGATTTGACCATCTGAAGTTCAGGTTTAAATGTTGTTGGTGTGCGTGTGTGTGTGTCCTGGTTGTGTATTTTATGTAGCCATCATGCGTTTCATGGGCGACTCTCCATTAAGGGGGCTAACAGAACAGGAAGTGGTCAGCACTTTCCTCAAGGTAAACATACAGATCATTTTTCGCCTTGTCTACTTTGCTGTTTTCTCTTTGACAGCTGGCTAATCTTTTTATGCTGTTTTTTGTGTGTATGTGCGTCCGTCCATCCACCGCACAGCTCATAGGAGAGTTCTCCTTGATGAGGGATGAGGCTTACTGCCAGCTCCTCAAACAGCTTACCGCTAACACCAGCTCCAAACCGTAAGTCCGCACACCGACACACACGGTACAAGCCTCTTTCATCACTGAGCCTGTGATTCCGAGCGTGCACTCCTGTGCTCCACAGCGACAGTTGCCAGCGAGGCTGGCGGCTGCTGTACATCCTGACTGCTTTCCACTGCTGCTCTGAAGTCCTCAAGCCCTTCCTCCTCAAATACCTGCAGCAGGCCTCTCGCAGCGCAGGAGTGCAGTATCAGGGTAACGAGCGGGCACAAACACACAGCTTTTACTGTCCCGTGAGTGTAAATATGTAACGTTGCCTATAAAATTGGCAGGCATAGCTAAAGCGTGCGAGCAGAATCTGAAGAAGACGTTCCAGTTTGGAGGCCGCATTGTTCCACCCAACAGCATGGAGCTGAAGGCTATGATGGTCAGCGTCTCTCTTTAATTTATGTCCCGAAGTTTCCACTCACAGTTTATCACGTTTTTTTATGCTGATTTGTGCATAAAATGAATAAAAAGCAAAACTATTCGTTGTAAATTGTACTAAAATAATGGTGTCAGGTTTAGGGAGCATTCAAAGCTGAAGCTACCCCAGCGCTTAAATAGTGCTGTGCTCCTGTCTGCATTGTTTCGTTGCACCTCTGTGGGTGTGTACACTCTTTCTTCACTATTTGTTTTTTTTTACAAACTGAATAAGGACAGACACAATTTCCAAACCCAGTCTGCCTTGAATTAGAATGAAGTTTACTCCTATTATGTTATGTTACAGTACTGTTATTGATGTAAGCAGTAAGTTAATGAGGTAGCTGGCTGAACTGAATTGGCTTTTGAAAGATGAAAAGTTATATTCTATTTTATTGTAATAGGCAACAAATTGAATGAAAGACCAAACCCAGCAATGGTCGGATCCCACCAGCAGGCATTGTCTGAATAATCAAAGCTTTTTTTCTCCCCTTCCTCTTTGCCAGGGAACTCGATTGTTGTCCAAAATCTATTACACATCAGAAAGCCACAGTGTTGCAGTGGCTGACGCGCTTCTGGGGATTATAGTGTGAGACTAATTCCCAACAAATGCACAATTTTCTCCTGTTTCAGCAATACTTGGCAAAAAAGTGCAGCGTCCAGCTTTTTTAGCAAATAACTAAAGGATACAACTTGGAAGCCACTTTAAAAGATTTATTGAGGAACCAGCAGGCTTGGGGGGCTGAATGCTACAAACAGGAGAGCCTAATGAGAGAAAAACATGCTGTTAATTTAAAATAAAAACAGGTTTCATCGGGTGTAGGATCTTGTGAAGTAGCCCCACTTATACAGTGTGTGTAGTTTAATCTATAGCAGTGTATTACATGTGTATGTGGTCGTGCCTCCTCAGGCGGGACGGAGTTCAAAACGTCAGCTGTTCCTCTTCCCCGGGGGTATCGAACGTCACGTGAAAATCAAAACGTGCTCTGTGAGTGCTCAGCTGCCACTTTCACCGTCACTGGTGTGCATCATGAGAGCGAGGAGGTCGTGATGCATTCGTGTGTCTGCACTGACACTGTTGTGTTTGGGTTTTGGTTTTTTTTAGGTTGCCCTGGAGGTGATCGAGGAGCTGTGTTATGAGATGGGTCTGCACAAGCTGGAGGCTATGGAAGAATATGCCATATTTTTAGTGACCAATAGAGGTATGCTCATGGGCAGCTTGTCTCAAACACATACAAACACATAAATATTCAACTTTGTATTTATGCTCTTTGAGAATCTCTGTTAGTTGCTCTCTGAGGTTTAGCTGTAGGAGAAAGTCAGGGGATGGTAAAACTCATCATCTAATCCTTTGCAGGTCTTAAAATGAGGTAAATACAGCCCGCAGTGAACATAACACATGACGTATTGCAGTGCGCCATTTTTAATTTACCCAAAATTACACTAAAATGCAGAAGCAGTGTGCGGAAAAATTAATTACACCTGTGATGATTTCTATCTGACTTAACGGGGTAAGAAGCAGCCGGCTGCTGCTAATCAGATCCACCCGATTAAAGCAGAAGTTTCGGCAGGTTGCTCATCTGCAGCGTTTTGGTGTGAGTTAACTCTGGAAGGGCTTAAAAGGCCATTTCCAAACTATTTGACATCCACCATTCAACAGTCAGAAAGATTATTCACAAGTGAAAAACATTCAAGGCAGTGCCATAGCCAATCAAGGAAACTCAGTTTCCTGGACTCAAACACAACCTGGAGACCAACAGCTTTGCAATTTCAAAAGGTTTATTAACGAGTATGCTCAGGATTTTAACTCAGGAAGGCTGGTCTGCCAGAGAAGGCAGGTAAATTAGCCAAAGTGTAATATGTTATATTTTTTATTATTATGTCCTGATCTGTAAAACCTTATCATTTGAAGAAGGGGCACCTTCTCTCACATGACTGTACCTCTAAAAGTAAACATTTTTTTGTGTGTATTTAAAAACACAAGTGATGTAGAACAGCCCTATGGCTCATTTCCTTCTGCTTTATCAATAATTTAATGTTTAAGCCCCTTGAAATGCTCTCACAGTACATATACTTTATACAAAAACACCATTGTTGTCTTTTTTCTTCCCTGAGCATTAAATATCGCCACATGATAACAGCTGGCAGCTGCTCTGGCTCCTGCGCTTTTCCAAAGCACAGCAGGTCACGCAGCATGGGGCTGCACAGCACATTTCAGAACACGAGTATCAATAGTTTTAACTCCTTTTTGGGGGGGTGAGCAGTGGCCAGTGTGAAAATATTCACGTCCACTGTGTAAAAACTTTGCATATTTGCATGTTCAGGTCAGAATGTGCGTCCTTTGAACAAGCGTGAGTACATCCTGGATGTGGCGACAGAGGCCGAGTTAGTCGACACCGGCTACAGCTTCTGGTTCAGGCGAGTCGTCTGGACTCAGCCGCTCAAGTTTGACAATGAGCTCTGTGTGGCCATGCACTATAACCAGGTACAACATTTGCCGCACATACTGGGTAGCTGCTGTTTACCTGTGTGTATGTATGTGTGCATAACCCTGTTTTTGTGATTATTTAGATCCTTCCAGACTACTGTAAGGGTCTGCTGAATGTTCTTCCACATGGAAAAGTGAGCGATCAACAGTTTCACCAGATCTCCAAACTGGCAGCTTTGCAGCACCGAGCCAAAGACAACATCTTCATTCCCAGCATGTGAGGAAACAGCAGCACTGAGACAGTGGTTATAGTTTAATTCTAATGAGCCCCAAAGAGGACTTTAAATTTAACCTGGAGTTCAATTTTACTTAATTTTACATACTTACTTTGTTCTGAACAATTTACTTTAGTGATAATCATTGTACTGAAAACACAAACTTATTGTACTTTAACAATCCTGATGTCAAGCAAATCCCAATTAAAAGAAAATATTAGCAGCAGGCATGGATAGGCTCCAACTCTGTGCATTTAGGCAGATAAACATACTTGAAGAAAGTTAATTTAAATGACTGAATGTGGCGTGGTTGTTCATGCCAGATGAGCTAAACTCAGTATTTCAGAAACTGCTAATCTGCTGATCTCCAGCGTTTTCAGAGAATGGTCTAAAGTAGAGAAAATATTCTGCGAGCAACAGTTCTGGTTCAGATTGGCCAGACTGTTCTGAGTTGATACAAAGTCACAGAAGGCATGCAGAAGAGCATCTCTGAATGCATAGCACACTGAACCTTGAAACAGAGAAGCTCCAGGCAGCAGATGACAACACTGGGTGGCACTGTTGTTAGCTAAGAACAGGAAACTAAATTTTGCACAATTTGCACATTATCTGCAAAATCTGGTCTGGTAAAACCTGATTTCTGCTATAACATTCAGAATTTGGCATACACTTTGTACAAGTATGGATCCATCCTGTCAACAATTTATCCTGCAGGTGTAATGGCTTATTTTCTTGCCATACGTTTAGCCACAAGCATCCCAGCAAACCTGAATGTTGTTCCTGATCGTGTCTATCCCTTTATGGCCACAGTGTACCCATCTTCTGATGGCTGCTTCCAGCAGGATAACGCACCATGCCTAAAAGCTCAGAACATCATAAACTGGTTTCATGAACATGACAATGACTTCACTGTACACCTTTGGGATGTGGTAGATTGAGAAATTCTCATATTCAATTTGCAGCTGACAAATGTGCAGCACCTCTTTGATACTGTCATGTTAATATGAACCAAAATCTTTGTGGAATGGTTCCAGCAGCTTGTTGGATCTTTGCCACAAACAATGACGGCAGTCCTGAAGGAAAAAGAGATCCAGCCTGCTATTAATAAGATGTACCTTATAAAGTGTTCAGTGACTGTAGATGGAAGTCATTCATGAAGTAAAAACAGTGTCAGCATGTTTCTATACATTCTTTATGTTTGTCTAACTTCGGTTTTGTTTTTGCCTTTAAATTCTTATAACTTGTTAACTAAGTTATTCTTGATATTTGAACGTTGAACGAACACTTTCCCCAGTATTTCTGGATGGGTTAGACTTTAAAATGAAAAAATTCTGTTCCCATCGAAAACTTTGGTAATACTCCCTACAATGACCAAATTTGTTGTGGTCTTTTATATCTATAATGTAGTATGAATGCTCATTTTAGTGGTGAGAAATTACAGCAATTAAGGTGTGAAATAAAGGAACGAGAATATAGTCTCATGCTGAAAAATGAAGAGTAAAGACCTCATAAAATGCCCTGCAAAAATGAAAACAGAGTAAAATCTTGTATAATGTGTAATGTTAATGTTTAAGTGGAGGATTCTGACTCGACTTGCAGCAGTTTAGTAAATGCAGGCACAGACTGTGGTGCAGTCACCAGTTATTGTGCTTAAAAGGCATGACTGCTTTTCTACTTTCTCAACTGTAAAAACTCTTATATGACTTCTTGCTCTAACCGCTGTTATCCTCGATCCTTCCTCCCCCATACACAGACACACACAGACACACACAGACACACACACAGCCTAAAGCGGAGAAGAGCAGCTCACTGAGTTGTAAAACTCTTCTGGAGAAATGTGGGAAATCACAGAGTGAAACAGACTGCTGTTTATCTGATACTCTGTTTCTGTTCTCCCTCTCCTGCAGACACGAATTATCGGAGTACATCGCCACACCTCTCTTCAAAAAGCAGCCACCCCAGCAGTGGGTTACCATGGCGACACAGCATATGCAGCAAGTACAGGCACTGAACCCGCACCAGGCCCGAGCACAGTTTCTGGGTAAGATTGCTGTGGACATTAAGAAGCGCTGCAGGAACACCTGGGTGGTGGTCTACAGTAATGTGTTAAACTAAAACTCAACTGCTTCACCCCAAGATTGAAAATTGACTAAAATTTTTCTTGTGCGCTTTCAGGCCTGGTCAGTGCATTCCCCATGTTCGGCTCTTCGTTCTTCTACATCCACAGCAGCAGCTCCACCACCTTTTACGCTCCCTGTATCGTTGCTGTCAATCAACACGGTCTCCACTTCCTCCACAAAAATACCCATGTAAGGAGCGCACACACACACACACACACCTTTGGTCGGCTTATGACTCAGCGCATCGTGACGAGAAGATGAGCTCATATGCAGAGCTGTAATTTCAGAAGACAGCTGTAAAAGTTTAGTCTCTGTCATGCAGGAGATGATGGCACTGGTCCCCCTGGCAGATATACAGTCCACCCGCACCCAGAGACCCACTGCTGGGACCAGTTACCCTTATGTAGACCTCACCTTTGGGGATATGAACGCACAACGTGTCATTCAGCTACAGCTGGAGCAGGTATTATGCAAACCACACATCTAAAGAATCTTGATCATCTTTAGCCAGTCAGCTTTCGGGCTCTGATCCACTCTTTCTTCATCCTCAGGGCCTGGAACTGTGTCGAGTCGTCGCCATGCAGGTGGAAAACATGATGTCGGTGAGGGAGAAGAGGCTCACTCTGCCACCCAGCGAAATCACCATGCTGTAACGCACAAACTTTCACGAGTGCTCTTGCTAATGTACATGAGACCTTCATAAATAGCCTACCTCTTCTCAGCCTAAGGTGTTTGCTATATGTATCTCACACACACAAATGTGAGGTCACTTTCTATGAGTGCAGAACAAGAATGGATCTCAATACTGGACGAATTTCTTGTTTTTCTATCTGTGTGACTCATTAATAATTGCACTTAACTGTTTTATGTGTACAGAAGCTGTAAATGAAATGTGGGGAGGCTTTGCAGGGCCGGTGTCGTGCCTTCACAAAGTTTTATAACTGATAGGCTACATGTTTTATATTTTTTTATAAGTACAGTTGACTGTACTCTTTATTGTTATATTCAGCCCTTGATAATGCACATTTTGTTAAAAAAAAAATCAAAACAAGAAACATTATATATAAATCACAATAAATCAGGGTTTTTAAAAACAATTGTGAACTTCTTCAGTGATTATTATATTACGTGCATAACTATACACTGCTGGGGAAAAAGTGGAATATTTAACCAGCAACCTTCCTCCTAATCAGGTATTTACTGACTTCATTGTTTACACACATAATATTAAAAATATACATTGTTTCAGTGTGCGAGAGTTAAGCCAAATACTGCTTGCTTCCAAACTCTATAGCAGCCGGTAAGTAGTTATTTTTACTGTATAACAACACAGTTTTTATTCCATTATATTCACTGTTTTATTCTACTTCGTGATATGTAATGAAATAAAAAGTTTGCATAAAACTTTAAAAACTATTTTTTTAGTCGTACAGTTTTCTTTATTTGTATATCTGCTATATAAACTGAGAACCAGCGGAGTTAATAAAATAAAAAAACAGAGCTATCTGGATGTAAAGTGTGGACTCAGTGGAGGTAAATAAGTGGGACAGAATTAGCAGCAGCGGACTAAAATGTGTCCTCGGGGCTCCCAAAATGGATTTAGCCCCGCCCCACACTGTCAAATCGTCACCGAGCATGCGCAGACTTCTGGCAGGTTACACGAGTTTATTTTCAGCCTTTTTCTTGGAGACGGTTTGTGCTGGTGTAAACTAAGAGGAGGTCAAGATTCGTGCACATATAGCAATGCGTTTCCCAGGCTATTGGAGTTAAAACCTGACTCGTCTGCGGAGCTCTGAGGTCTGGAGTTTGACGGCGACATGTGAAATGTTGCTGCGTGGTTTGTCTGTTTTTCCAGGCGGCGACGGACAGACCCAGCCAGGCTAGTGGAGCTAACTAACTTACTAGCTTGCTTGCTCGCTAGCTGGTAGCCAGGCCGCTCAGATAATATTTTTCGCGTTTCTGCTGGCCGAGCGTGCTGCATTTGCCACGGCTCTGTTTTCCTGAGAGAGTCCGGTAAGGTCATCTCCAGACTGCCAACTGCCACACCACATCGTTACTTCAATGCAGACGCGGGGTGGCCCAGCAGCTTAGCTAATGTTAGCTACTTTATGCGCTGCGAGAAAGTAACTGGACCCTTTAAAGCAAGTGATATTCATCTGTTAGACGTCTAGTCCGCTCACGCTAACAAGACCCCGAGAAATTGGTGTTGAAATGCAGCGCTGATGCGTGCTATCTGTTAGCTAGCAGCCCTCGTCGCAGCACGCCGGTCATCTTGTTTTGGCTGATATGGCAGCCAGTGGATACTCCGACCTGAGGGAGAAGCTCAAATCCATGACTCCGCACAGAGACGACTACGAAAACAAGTGCGTGGACGAAACGAGCAACGGGAAACCCCGAAAACGCAAGCACCGGGAATCCGATGACGACGAGTACGAGCACAGCGATGACAGCACGGACCTCCGGGAGCAGGAGGCCCGACGGGTGAGGAGCAGCATCCAGCAGAAGACCATCTTCACGCCGGAGGAGTGCGCCCTCATCGAGAAGAAGATCGACGAGGTGGTTGCACAGGCAGATGCCGGACTTTACCGCGAGCACACCGTGGATAGAGCGCCCCTTCGGAATAAGTACTTCTTCGGGGAGGGCTACACGTATGGAGCCCAGCTGGAAAAGCGTGGTCCGGGTCAGGAGCGGCTGTACCGCAAAGGAGAAGTGGACGAGATCCCGAGCTGGGTGCACGAGCTGGTGATCAAACGGCTGGTGACAAACGGAGTCATCCCAGAGGGGTTTGTCAACAGTGCAGTCATCAATGACTATCAGCCAGGTGGCTGCATCGTGTCACACGTGGATCCTTTGCACATCTTTGACCGGCCCATCGTGTCCGTGTCCTTCTTCAGTGACAGCGCTCTCTGCTTCGGCTGCCGCTTCCAGTTCAAACCGATTCGGGTGTCTGAGCCCGTGTTTGTCTTGCCTGTGAGAAGAGGAAGTGTCACCGTGCTCAGGTGAGTATAGCTGTGTTTGCTGTCATGTTTTGTGTTTTTGTGTAGTTCCCACGGGCTGCAGAGAGCAGTCACTAAAAGCCTATTTTCCCCTCTCTCAGTGGCTATGCAGCAGATGACATTACCCACTGCATCCGACCACAGGACATAAAAGAAAGGCGTGCAGTAATCATCCTCAGAAAGTGAGTCAACACACTGTGATTTTGAAAAATTGACCATCCTAATTTAAACCTCTCTCTCAACCCCATTGTTTCTTATTCTGCTGCTTCTTCTTTTTGGCAGGACTAGACCTGACGCTCCTCGACTGGGCTCTGACAGCTCGTTAAGAGCTTCTTTGGCACAGAAACCAGGTCGCCTGAAAGCCAAACGTTCTCATCGTAAAGCAGACCCTGATGCTGCTCACAGGTATCCACCCGCACGTGCTAACACACCAGAGGTCTTCATGGTACAAACTAAACTGAGAAAAGTCAGACTAGCTTTTAAAAACAGCGCACAAGTATTTCACCTGATGAGAAACTGGTCAAAATGTAATTGGAAAACATAGAGGCTGCAATCAGTGAGTGCTAGGAAAGGGTACCAGAGTTTGGCATTAAATTGGTACTGATTCCAGTCTCCTCTAAACTGAAGCATTGATAAGTGTCTGGACAAGTGGTGCCACTCTCAGTATTTATGTAACGTTAATTCATTCTAACAAAGCCGGTGTTTAGAAATTCACAGCTGCCCCCTGAAAATGAGGCTGCTAGTCTCAAGCAGATTGTCTGCCACTCAAGTCACAGTAACTAGGGCTATTAATGAGTCTTTTATGAAATGCACAGTTGGCATCAGTGTGAGTACTTCTTTAAGTGGCCCTAATTAATTCTCAGGCAAACAGCACAACAAACCCAATAAATGAGGCAGAAAGCCTTGACCAAAGATATTGTAGGGTTAAGTTTGTTGACATGACAGTACAAGCAATGCTTGTTTTTGCCAGCATAATTAGATGTGTGGAAAGTGTGATGTGTACAAACAAAAGCATTTACCTATTTCTGCCAAAGAAAAAAAAAAAGCGCAGCAGAGTAGGTGATCCCATGTTGGGTCAAGATGATGTGTGTAAACACCAGTGAGTGGTATTCATCATACAGTCTGTTCAAGTTTAAACATGTAGAAAAGAAATCAAAAGTAAAAAAAGATATAGAGGGTGTCACATCTTGCTTTTTAAGTTGCTGTGACAGAAAAGTGTCTTCCACTGAGGTCAGGGACGATACTAGCCTCTGGTCTCGCTACCCACTTGGAAAACTGGGCAGCACTTAAGCAGAACTCTAAGCTGTAATATTTTGTCATGGCTCAGAGGTGGTGAATCTGCAAGAATAAACGTGAGGTGTGTTAGTAAGATAACTCTGTGCGATGAAAGGGTTTGTGATGAATGACCCAAATGTGACTCCACCAGGCCGAGGGTTCTGGAGATGGATAAAGAGGAGAACAGACGTCCTTCACTGTCCCGTCATCGTCACAGCATCACCTCAGAGAACTACAGGAGACGCGGCCAAGACTACGACAAAGAGCAGGAGAGTTCAGGGCGCAAAGTCAAAATGAGGCGCCACTGAGGACTCCTTTCACATGTGAACATATGAATATCTGGTCTTTTTTTGTTTTTTATGTAAGCCCATCAGCCACAACATGAAAACTACTGACAGGTGAACGTGATCATATCGATGATCTCATTACAGAACAGCGTCGTTTGAATCCCCGGGGTCCTGGCGTTCATGTCAAAGTTACTTTGGCCAGCTAAACACTGGAGCACAGCAGGACAAACAGCAATGAGGAAAACATCTTAGCAGGACACACAGGCAGCCATCAGAGACACCCCTACCCCTATGGCATGATAGGTCAAATCTGTTTTGGCAGCACTGAGTGCAGCCTGCACCGTTTTGAGCAGGTGGTTTTAATGTTATGGCTGATTATTATATTTCAGTATTATATTATTTGTTCATTCAAACTTGCTCCTTTTGTTTCAGTTTGGCACAGGGAGGGCAGTTATCATACTGTTGCTTTTTGATTTGAGTCTGGATTAGTTTTTGTTTCTGGCAGACAAAGCTTACATCTCTGCTACTTATTACAGCACTTGGAGTTATTCACTACAGTTAGGCTCTGTTGATAAACTGTTCAGTTAAATTAAACTTTTTGTTTGTATGTTCATAGATACCTAAAACTGGCATGTTTTGTTTTTTTGTAACCAAGATGTACAGACCTTGAGAGCTGAAAGGAGTATGGACTTGTAAAAAGGAAACCCTGGGCTGTAATCTAACTTGTTATAATGTACAATATGTTTATATAGTGTTTGATTGGAGGACTTTTATGGAGAGTTTGAGTTTTAGCACCTACGTTTCTGACCTGTAACTTCACTCAGTTCACTTTAGCCTCCATTTTGCAGTTTTAAGTTGCAGCAGACGTGAAACCTGGATTTCTGTTTTACGATTCAACTCGGCCGCATGGCTTCTCTTGCTGGTCTGTCAGCTGGAGTGATGCACCATTTCAGGAGCAATGGAAAAACTCAGGTCTTGTTTTACACTCCTGTTTCATTCTGACGTTGTTGCTGTCCCGTGCTAGATCTAAATTTTTCTCTTTTAAATAAGGTGAAATTGGGGTCAGTCAGAACTTTAATTTGAGCAGAATGACCTCCATTATGTCCTGTTTAGTTTGGGTCTGAGCAGAAACAATTTCCTTGCGGTTTGCTGTGTAAACATAAATTTGTTGCTTGCTTCCAGTCAGCCATGTTTGGCAGAGGTACTCATTAGATGACTGCTTAGTATGGAGTTACATATGAGCAAAAATAACCTTGGTTCAGAGGAGAAATTGCTTTCTAAAAACAGGACGTGGGGTGTTCATGGCTCTGTAGCTCGGCTAAAGTTGAAATGATTGTGTGGACAGTGAAGGAGCATAAAATGGTTTCATGGGTTTTTAGTTGTCATTTGTTTTGACTGACAAAGGTCCTCGCTAAATGAAATAAAGCTGAATTTGCCTCTCCTGAGTCTATTTATTCTGCCTGCCATACTGACAAATATGTATTTGTTACATTTTTTAAGTGCAGAATTTGAGATTAAAAGATCAACACTGGTCACTTCTATTGAGAAATCTTATTTTATATCTAATATCAGTAAGAAGCTGAAACATATGTCACTACAATTTACTGAAAACTTTCCAGCCACTGCAAACTGCTAAACAAATGCAGTTATGAACATTTTTTAATGGTCTGATTCTGTGGTATCAGAAGTACAATTTCTTCTGGAAACTTCAATCTAGAGTACTCTCATTTTATTATTTCCTCACAAGCTCCACCTCATGAACTAAGTCAGGGTATTCATCTAAAGTTTCCTCTACAAACTACTGCAGAATTTAACATCTGATCCAAATGAGCTGTTTATGTTTTTACACTATGTTGAACTGATGAAATTTAACTTCAGTGAAGGCTTGCTGAAAAGTCTAAAAACCTTCTTTCTTGTCAGCCACTTTGAGTAGGAGAGAACTTTCATCTTCACTGAAATCTCATCTTATAGCTTTGGAATAGTTAATTATTAAGTGATGATTTAACTTAAAGGGAGAACCACAAAAAGGAAAAAAGCTGTCCTTTAAAATTCAGGTGTTCCTTTAATTTTTTCCCTTTTTAGATGTGTTATATATAATCTGCATATGAAGACATACATCTTTTGGTTGCCTTTGTACCTGAAGAATTTTGGGTCTGTGTCAGTAAGTAAAATGCATAAAATGTTTCAGTTTAAAAATAAATTAATTAATTAAAATCATATATATATATATTACATTATTTTTGGAAATTCAGATAAATGTATAGAAATAACCCGATTAGTTAGAACAACTGTACAGAAGAGAGCCGGACAGTTATTGAAGGTCTGTTGTGCTAGAGTGTCACCAGGGGGCGCTAATGCACCTTTAACGATGATTATCATATCCGAAATTTAAAAAAAAAAAAACGAAGAAGAAGCCACCAGCTGTTAGCTACTGTTTATGGCATATTTATGGCAGCAAACGACAGTCGACAGGCTTTTTTTTTATTTGCCAAAAAAGCATCAAAAGACGTGTTCTGTCAAACTCCAATGGTTCTGAACCTGAATATCACATTTTCTTCGCACTGAGTGGTAAGCATATTTATCAGGAGGGTGGAGAGATAACTTATATAATGGACTGCTAACAAGGCTAACCAGCTGGCTAGCTGCTAACAATGAGAAACGCTTTGTTTTTGTCTGCGTTGTTATTCGGACAGCTGTGTAACTTTACTGTCTGTCAGTATGTTATTCATTTCCGTCGACATATTTTTCGACTGTTTTTGTAAGGCTAGAGATGAGAGGGGAGGTCGGCGCTAAAATACTGTCACAACTCGTTAGTAGTGAGACCTTCAAAAGTTTGAGTAATTCCAGATGTTTTACAGAAGCACTTAATTGAAGTCTCCTCTCTTAAATTTCCAAGTCTCCCTTTGAAAAAATGCCTCACCAATGTATTTGGAGGCTGTTAAAGGACCAGTTATGCAAGCAATTAGTTCGTTTGGATATAACCCAGAGCATGACTAAAGCAGTAACCGCAATAATATAATATTATTTGGAGGTAAAAACAGAAACAAGATAACAAAACACATAAAACTAGATGAGTGATTAGCAGACTCTAAAAGTTGTTTCTGAAGAGGAGAGTTAAAGAGGAGTAAGAAAAGTTAAAACAACACCATATGCTTCTGTCATGACCTGCTTTCCACACTCTTTGTCAAAAGCACCAAGAGACAGATAAAAGAAACGGACTAAACAGGGGGTTAATCAAACCTTAAGCATGGTTAAGGTTCCTCAAAGTCTGGAGCCACATTCTGCAAAATTGACTAATTTGGTCCAAACACGTTGTCAGTGAAATGCTGAGAACGCATTGCACTATTCTGCATCGTGACATCACATGGAAACAGGCAAAGAACTCTCTTTAGCAAGCAGCAGAATCAGAGCATCTTGGATTCATGTAAAGACAGTCGACTCTGAGAGAAATTAAACCTTCAGAAGACTTGTGGCAAATTCTCCAAGATGCCAAATATCTTGAAGGCTTGTTTTAAGGGCAAAAGATCAGCACACCAAGATTTTTTCTTTTCAGTTTACTACTCTTATTATGAAGTCAATTAACATTAGAAACCTTTCCACAGTACTCTTACGGTGAACATACTGGCAGTCCATTCAGCAGGATAAACTGCAAATCCTTTAATCCTGTGGGAGAAGTCTAACTTTGCCCTTTCTACATTTGCCATACTTAACATGTGATATGTTTAGTGTTTGGTCAGTAATCTATCACACAGATGGAAAAGGAAGAAAATTGCATTTTATTTGTATAATGTCTTTGTTAGTGTCATATATAATGGCAATGGCAGGTTTATTTATATAAGATGTTTCATTGCATGTAAGCTCAATGTGCTTAAGATAAAAACCTAAAAATCTCTGCAGGTTTGCAGTGCTTTAAAGTGAAAATGGCAAAAATAAAACTTTACAACCTCCCATTCACACACACTCACAGCTATTAAATGTAGAGTTTGTTTTTGTTTTTGAATGTTGGCAAAGACGGAGCGCTGCCTGTCCTCTGTCAGTTGAAGTCTAGTAGGATATCCTGCTGCTGCTGCTGGTGGTGCTAATGTGTCTGTAATATAGTGTTTTATTTATTTATATATATATATAATATATTTTTTCACGCTTAAATTAGCAGTTTGAATGCGGTGGTATGATTAAGCACTATTGTGACAGCAATCACGATATTGATGTAAGTATTGACCTGATGATAACAGAACAGTGACCTCTGTTATGATAGTTAAAGTGACACCACCATGCTGTACATGCTGTAACTAAATGACTCAGGGATGCACCGGGTCTATAAATAGAGTGCTGCTTTGGTCTTGGGACCTTGTGCCTCTTGCAGGGAGTGAGGACACAGAGTTGTTTGAAATGGTTTTGAGTAATATCTTATAGCTATTTGTGGATATCAGGCATCTGGAGCTAAATGCAATAAGCTCAACAAACCTTTGGCTTTGTACAAACTAAAAATACATTTCCATCACTGTCATGTTCAGTTGTAGAAGCTTACAATCAGCTTAAACAAGCTCCTTAACTGGAGTTTTGCAGTGCACTGGATAATAGACCTCATAGTGGGAGGGATGTTTTACCAACAGACTGATGTGTCACAACAGGAAAATCCCAGGTGTCATCAGTGAGGGCTGGTGTACTGTAATGAGCTTAGGAGCGCAATTAATGGGATTGATTACGCCTGTGGAAAAAGACCATGACACGAAAGTCTGCTTTAAGTTAGCTTGCCTTTCTATAACACCTAGCTATGAAAGAAAAAAGAAAGGAATATCGTTGTATCAAGCCCAGTTAGGCGAATGCATGTCAGACATTGATCCTGTGAACTTACCTTTTTTTAAACAGAACCTTTATTGTGGCTGTTTCAGGTCTAAAATATGACCTTAGTTGCACCATATTCAAGGCAGCCTTTGCAGACATATTTAGTTCCTGATACTAAAGCAGTGAGCAGAGCCCTGAATGGTGTAGTCAGCTACACCAGTCTGTGAAGCTCTCTTCATGTAACTACATCACTATTACTTCAGTAACAGTTCTGAACACTCCCAATGTCAAAACTGAGCTGTCAGGATTCCCACTAACAATCATAGCCATGTTTGTTTATGTAACACTGTTTCTGCCAGCACTTTCTGACATGTTTAGTTGTTCTTTAACTGGGAAGTGATGCTGCTTTAAGAAAGATGAGAGCAGGTTTTGTCATTCTAAGAAATACTCTGTGGCTCGTAGAAGTATTGACATAAAGAGTGCTGAAAGATTAAGAACCAAGCCCTTCATTCAAGGTATAAAAGCTTCAGTTTATTTCTTTAATGTGTCCACACATCTTTGAAGAATACTCTGCTCAATGTGTGTAAAGTTATTCATCATATTAAATAGAAATGTTGCTGTGCACACTATTCCACTTTCATGAATTATTCAGACTTCAACACTTTAGAGTGCTGTTGCATACAATTATTTCTAAACGAAGAGAAACCCCCAAAATGTTGTTTTCCCTCTGACAGTCAGTCATATCTTATGTTGCCTTCTGCTCTTCCAAATGCATGCCGTCTCCTTTTCCAAAGGCTGACCACGATAAGGGAGAAGATGAACTTCCAGAGCAGTCGGAGGCGAGGAGAGGAAGGCATCGCTGTAGTGATTGACTTTCTGCTGTCTAATGCCCGGCTGGTTCTGGGAGTTGGAGGTGCGGCTCTGCTGGGGATTGCTACACTGGCAGTGAAACGGGTGAGTGCTTTTTGAGTTTGTTAGTACCACATCACAACATCTTTTCCAAGCCCAGTGAGTATGGAAATATTGTGTATCTAAAGGGATGAATGACAGATTCCTCATCATTTGTTCATCATTTTTGCCTTTTCTCGCCTTTATACATCACTCTTGCAGCTGCCAGTAACAATAATTTTGAATTCTGATCTAATAATCAGATCAGAATAATGTATGCGATTCTGAAAAAGATCATTATGCACAATGAGTACTTTTACTTAATGTACTTTAACTGTGTTGCAAAAGGGATGAAACAAGTAAAAGTAATAGTGCAAAATCTGAATTTTGCACTATTACACATGGATCTAAAAATCATGCCTTATGGCATCTCTCCCCATTTTCTTTGCTGTATTTATGTCAGTGTTAAATATTATAATCTCTTATGATTCTTTCACCCTCATCTATGCTAACCCATTTAAAAAAAATAAAAATCTTACATGCACTTTGGACTGCATATCCTGAGGATGGTTCTGTCTATCAATGTTTATTTACTTGTGGGTTGTGATTGTGTATGTAATTGAATTTGTGGAGTGTACGCATGGCTGCACGTCTGTGACAATGAGTGTTTTCGTTCAGCTGATAGAGCGCGCAGGCCGCGCAGCAGATGACGAAAAGGTGGAGCGGAAGATGGCTGAGAGCTGGGAGGAGTTGAGTTTGGTCTCTGCTTCTCCAACACTCATCAGGAAGGGCATAGAGGGTGTGGTGATGAAGCATGTCGCCAAGGCAACCAAACAGCAGAAAGGTATTTGAGCGACT